ATATTACTGCTTCAGAAAATATGACTTTAAAACCTGCCCTGGAAAGGTTGGCAGTGTAGATGAATTAATTCAGCATGCTATCTGTGACAGCAATGGCACTTGCCTTGTTGCCAGTGCACTGACTTGCAGTGAGTCACTGTGATTGTCTTTTCCAGACCCCATTAAATGGTGGGAAGCAGTAATCACAGAATTGCTCCTGGGCCATCTTTTGTGTATGTTCGATTCAGCTATTAAAGAAATTAAAATTAAATAATCTGGACTAGAGAACTGTTTCTTATAGCAGCTTTGGCTGTAGATTTGACTTAAGTAGATTTATAGCTGTGTTACTAATGGCAAAACCAGCCACTTGACAAAATCCCAATTCTTACAGAAGAGAATGTGTTAACATGTATTTGGTATTTACAATGGTCTGTTAAGATTAAATGAAAACATCTGTTTGGCTGTTTTTTACTGCAGTGGAATTAGACGTAAAAATAGAGATGAACTCATGATCCATGGTTTCCTTTTGTGTTAAAAAAATGTTATTAAACATTTCTAAAACATTTCTCATTTTATGCACAATTTAAGAGCTATGGATATTAAGAATGAGGAAAAGGTAAAATTGACTTTACATTATAAAGCTATTTATGATCTAGAATCACACTCAGTTAAATTTTCACAGAACTGGATCAGAATTCCATCATTTGAAAATTAGGGAACATGAAGAAACATCTTCCAAGGCTGATGCAGTTTGAATCTGGTGGTCGGGTTCTGTTTAAAGTCTTCCAGTGAAACTATCCCTTTGGACTGGAGAATAGGAGAGATTTATACAGGAGTGACCTACCATATACAATTTTCTTTAAGCATAAGGCATGCTTACATCCCTATCCCAAATCCTCTTAAAGTGGTTTCAGGGTTTCATCTTAGCCAGAACATTGAGTCTACCTTGTCTTTTTTTGCTCATTTACCTCCTAACCTAAACCTGTGAGGTATATCTTTAGGACAAAGCAGCTCTTTCATTTTTCCTTGACAGGGGTAAATTGGTTAAGAAGATCTGATTGCTTGTGTCTATGGTAGAAATGTTCATAGGACAGGAAATTTGGACCCAAAGTCTGCTTTTGTTGGATATCTAACTAGAATATGAGTTGGTTTGTTCTCCAGTGATGGACACTGTATTCAGACAGACCAGCTCCTGAGACCTGAGCTGCTGTTAGGACTCCATTCATGGTTTCTTGAAGTATTATGTTATTGCAGAAATTTACGGGCACAATGCAGTGATGAAACAGCAGTTTTCAGTCATTTGTAGTTTCTTTTTTCTGGCTATTTATTTTTACTGGAATAGATGGGGAAATATTTGCATGTAGTCATTCTTCAGGGTATGTTATCTGTATGTATATTAACAGCTGACCCTCTAACACTCTACAGGAGAGCCCGTTTACATTTTTTGGTTCTGTGGGACCGAATGAAGAGTGTACACTTCCCCCTGTATGGCCATATACATACCATGCTTAGGAGTGGGGTGCATGTGTGACCTACAAGTATCAATAAGGATTTCGGATTGGCAGTGCTGTCACGTGGGAACACCTACAATACAGACTGCCAGCCTATCTTGGAGGATACCTTAAAGTAGTATGTTTTCTTTCTTGGTTCTGCGAAGAACAGCCTATTGTTAGCTCAGTTAATTTTCTCATTAAATGTCAGGAAAATGATCAGTGGAATGAGGGTAGAGGAAAAGATCGCTATCTGCTTCTCTTCTGGTCATGAAAGGAAGCATTGAGGTTTTGCAAATGCACAAATCTTTAGCGGGAGTCAGTGGAAGAGTCAACAGAAGGAGTGATTGTCTCCTGATACAGAGCATTTTAGGCTAGACTAAGAGAAATTATATATTTCTTGTAATCAGTTGTATTTCTTTCTTTTACTTCTTTCCATTTTAGAATGCAGTTTTGCTTTACTGTATGAGAGAACCAATGTGACTACCCGGAACCACAAAAAGTGCAATATAAGATAACTTAAGGCTGGCATATTATGTTTCAGTATTGCTACATTCATTGTTCAAATGTCCAGACTTACCCCCAAAGTCATAAATGTTTAACTTTTTAAAAATAAATTGACTTTTGTATTGGCTTAAGATGAAGTTAATGTTCTGAATATTTCTCTCTGCAACTACAAGTCTAGAAATTAATAATTTCCTAATGAGAACTCCTTTCTTTCTGAAGTCTTAATTTGATCAACTGAAGCAACAATAAAAAAGCACAAAAATTTCTGATCTTTGTGAACAAATTGCAAGAGCTGGTAACTGCTATTCTATATTTCCAAAAGGATATTAAATGATTTCCTTACATATCTGTTAATATTTGTTACATCATGACAGTTACTGGCACAATACCTGACTTACTATTTTGTATTTAGGGTAACCGAGGACTACCTGGCCTACCTGGACCCCGTGGAGCAAAAGGTGATGGCCACAAAGGTGAAGCTGTAAGTACAATTTGAATTCTGTACTTTGTGATCTACAAAGAAAATTCCTATGTGATAACTCAATATTTAGTTACTTAACTAAGTGCAATTAATCTTCTCTTTCATCCTTTAGATAATTTAAATATTTCATATATATTTTGAAGTCCTTTCCTGTCCTAAATACAGTGCCAGTTCTACAGGCAGTCAGAATCAGATATAAACTGTTCTCATTTCAGCATCATGAAAGGTGTACCATGTAATTCCATCAAAATCTTCATGGCTGCTCATACATTTGTGATATAATCACTGCTTTGAATTATTTTTCTTCCCTCCTCCTCTCCCTCCCTGTTCTTTACTGTTCTTTGTTCAAGATCTCTAATAACATCTGTTTGGCCAAATCTTTCAGCCTTCAATTCCTTGGTTTTTAAGCTGCTTTTTGTACCTGGGGCTTAAATCCTCTTTTTGAAGATTTTCCCCCCACTTGCTTTTCTGATGGGTAGCTCCAGAGAGGGTTAATGCCTGAGTATTCCAGCTGGCACATTCCATTACAAGGGCATATCATCCTAAATTTCAGTCATCCAAAGCCATCAAACAGATGTTTGACCAACCTTCCACTAGAAAATGAAAATACTGATGCCATCCTTCAACCACCACATGTCAAACCTCCATTAGCACTATTTTCTTTATGTCTGTAATCCAGCTTTATTTCAAACTACAACCACAAATGCACTCCCAAATACACTGAGGTGGAACCTGAGTGCTTCCAAATAAGTCACAGCTCAGCTCCAATTTCCTGTCATTCAGACTGATCCTGGGAACATCCTTTTGGATCAGAATTAATTCAGAGGGCATTCACTCAGAATTCCTGGTATAATGCCATGTACCTGACACATTTCACAGCATGTAGGGACACTAGACCAGCTCAGGACTCCTTGGAGGGTCAAGGAGTGCCAGTAATGGACCCAGACCCATTAAACAGAGGACAGGCAAACAAATGAAAAAACCCTACTGTCATTCCAAAGAAAACTGAAAAGCAAATGCAAAGGCAATCATGAGGAAGGCAGTGATGCAAATAGATGACTGAAGAACTTTTAGTAAGCCTTAAAATGCCTCATAGGAACTGAAGTTTTAAGCTTTACAAATTAAGATGCCTGTTTGTATGAAAAAGAAGTATAGGTCAGTAAGCAGCTGAAAACTTTTCATTTCTAATTAATTGAAGAATTCAAGACAAGCCTGGTTTGGTAGCCATGGATTAATAAAACTATACAAATGCTGGTTGTAGTCTGCGCAGTCACAGGAAGACAAACTTAGGTGTATGTGCTTCCTGCATTTCTGTTAGTGACTAGACAATTAAAAAAAAGAGCCTTGCTCTGCAATAGTATTCCTGAAATCATGTCTGTTCTAGGGTTCCCATGTGCAGCTGCCTTAAGTGTCATGCTTCTCTGCAACTCAATCTCAGGCCTCAAGAACAGCTGGTTGTGTTTCTCCCTGCCACACAAGTACATGTCCTTAAAATGTGTGAAGGTTCTGTTGTGCTGTAGCATGCATCTTTCCCCTTCTCAGGGTGCCTTTCCATGCCCTGTGATCTGGAAAGACCAACTTTGTAAACCACTGGCAGACATAGACAAGATGTATGTAGCTAAGCCTCTGTAGCATCATGGGGCAAACTTCTGCCCTATGAATGCTGGAAGGGAGGGTGGGGGTACATCCAACGGTATGAAGGACAGCTGAAAGGGCTGTGATAGATTGAGTGAGGAATTCAGGAGAACAGACTATCAAACTCAAATACACCAATGTTAGGGTTACCCAACCCCCAAATTTAGATGGGTTAGCTCTGGTAACCCAGATGTGTAACGTCTGCAGTGTATGAATCGCGGAGCTATGTCTGCTTTCTCACTAGTTTTTCTGAGATGAGAACAACTCTGATGTTCTTAAGTCAAGGGCTGGACTATTTTTCCACCACTCTGGTAGTCTTTTCAGGTGTCTACCTGGGACTGAGGATGATTGTTGCTGAGTACACATCAAAAATGTGAAGAATTTGGCAAAATACAGCAAAACCAAAGAGATCAGGAACTATTGCTAAAATTCTCTTCTTTGCTGAAGAACACAAGTACTCTTCCTTTATGACAATTACTGACATGCTTTATTCCTCTGCTGTACCAGGGACCTCCAGGACCAGCAGGGCCCCCAGGACCAGCAGGCCCAAAAGGCGTGGGAGATGCTGGACCAAAGGTACTTGTACAATGGTACATACATACATCTGACTGGTAGACAAGGGACAAACGTCTTCCAAAAAATTCATTAGATTAGAATGGCATATATATGACAAAATGCTGCAATCTCATCTCCCACTTTCCATTTCAGAAGAAAAGCGTTTCTGCCATGATATATACAAACCAGTTCTGGCTTTATCCTCAGATTTGATGCAAATCTTCAGGTTTTCCATACATCCAGAGACCCAAGATATTTCTAGATGCTGGAGTTCCCATGTGGGAGTCAGAATCCAACATAGATGGAGTATTGCCTAATAATTATGCACTTCCTTTGTCCTACAAAGTGCAAGGGATGAGGCTCCAAAGGCATCCAGGGAAATATTGGTTACATGGAACTAGTGATATATTTTTAAAGTTCCTAGAAATGGATTCTTAAGAAAAGACTATAAACCTTCATCTAAAATTAGTATTAGTTTAGAGACATAACTCAGCAGCTTAAAAAAAAAAAAACAAACTCATAAAGGGATTAGAAACACAACACTGAAACACTTCTAAGTTTTTTCATAAAATGCAGAATAGCTAAACTGTTGTAAGTCCTAAGCAGTATGTATTTCACCTAAAAAGTTGCATTGCAACTGCTATGTCATAAAAAGTTGGAAAAAAGAGACTTAAGACTAAAATCATACAAGAAATTGCTTTAAAATATCCCACAGAGTGGTTTTATTAATGATTTCCTCATTACATATGTGAAATAGGAAACAGGCAGCCTGTTGCAGGAGAAAGCAAAATAAATATCGGCCAAACAAGTTTTTTCCCAAACAGAAGGAACTTTCAACTTCTGTTCCCAAAACATGAGAATTCCCATTTAAAATAAACAGCAACAATAACTTATTAAAAGCATATCCACAATAAAGGAGAAACTGAAGGACATTCATCCTTAGAATGACCTGACCTTAGAATGACTGTAGCATGGCCTGACAATGGGATCTGAGAAACCTGGCTTTGTGCTCCCATTCCGAATTGCTGTTTATCAATCAATACAAGACATTTCTCATAAAGTAATGCAATGTCTGGCCCATGAAACGAACTACTGAAGAACTAAAAGTAATTTCAATTATGTCATTGAATATACACTTACAGAAAATACATATTGCTAAACTAATTAGTTTTTTTTAATATGAGATAATATCATTTCCAAATAGAGATATGAGACTTGATATAATACAGTCTTATTAGACATTTTTCTTGGTACTACAGAAGAACATTTCATTAAACCCCTAGAATATTTTACAAGATTATTAAGGCAGATATTAGATGAAAATGTCTAGGGGCATCGTTATGTCTGGAATTCCCCTCCACCTCCTAAATGCATAGTTCTGGAATGTAGTGTTTCCCAAAGAAAAGGAATTAGAAGGTCATGTCAGGTAAACAAATGAAAGGATCTCCCACTGTGATGCCATGGTTGAAAGATTACAAACACCAGAAATATAAATCAGAATTTCAGTGGGAATATAGGGGTTTAACATAAAGAAATTTGAGTTAATTCCAACATGGAAACAAAAGATTTTTTTTTTTAAGTGAAAGGAAGCCACTAGAATAATTGCAGTGAAATTTCTCGCAAGTGGAATTTTTAAAATCAGCATTTGTGGCTGTGTTTCTGAAAAGTATCACAAATGTACAAGGCATACAGAAATAAACTTGGGGGCGGGGGGCTGGAAGGTGCCTGTATAATTACTCAAAAAGTTCCAACCCAGATCATGGCTGATGGAAGTAAATCCTTTAGAGAGGAGGAGGTAAAAGCTGCAAAGTAAAAGAAAATATATCCAGGTTTTGCAGTGGAGGACATGGGATCTAGTCTTTTTATCACAGTTATTCTTAAACCACTGTAAGTCTTTGTATATAATAACATATATATTTAATTAAATCATAGATTACTATTATAGTTACAGTTAGAAATAGATTACAGTTAGTTATAGAAAACTTACAGTTTTCACTTTCAGCTCTAAGTGATGTAAATCATTGCCAAAACAAGTGAGTTGTTCATACTCTGTTATAAAGACATAAATCCTTACTTGTCAGTCTCTTCTCCACCAATGAACAGCATAAGAAGTGTTACCATCCCTCCAGATCTGTGGGCTGAAGTATATTCATGGTACTAGTAAAGCAGGTTTATTGGTAGTATCTTTTTGTGGAGGAGTATGACCTTTGTTATGTTAGTTGAACATTACTGATTAATAATAAATTTGGCAATAGGCCCATTACTTAAACCTGAATTTGACTGAGCAAAAGTGAAATATCTGTGACCAAGAGATGAAGCTTTTGTAATTAAATACTATTAAATTGTAACAGGAAATAGTGTAATGGAATATCTAGAAATAGAAACTCATATTGTAATTCATTATCTATAAAGATGCCTGCAAAAGATTAGGCAAAGCCAAACTGGTAAATTGTTATCGCTATTCTCATATGTGTTCTGACAATTTCAGGTTAGATCAGGGTTGTCATGTAAGTTAAAAGTATCTTCCTCATTTCCATCAAGTCACCACTGTTGTCACAAAATTGTCAGAACTAGGTAGCTTGATTCAAAGAACGAAATTGTTGAAAAACATGGATGCAAAGGAAGCTGTGTTTTCAGGTTAATGGAATGGGGCTTCCTGTGGTTGTGGGAGCTGGGTGTGATACAGCCTAAGGAGCAAGACCTCAGCATATGCAGTCAGTCTAGTTCAGGCAGCCTCACGTACACACTCAGAGTCATCTCAGGTGATCTGTGTGGGTGTTCAGGATGGATCAGAAATGAGCTGTTGAAGTCAATCTCCCAGTGGACCCATTTACTGTGCTTTGGGTTCCGGACCAAAAAGAGGTCTGAGCGGTCCCACAACCCAGGAAATGGATTTCCTTCAGATGAAGCTAAACTAGATAATCTGATCTGTAAGTGCTCTTAATGTACTTCTAACCCCAGCAGGTGATCTGTCCACAGGAGCAGAGCAGGCAGGTCTCCTCACATTGCATACAGTGTAAACATCAGGCTACAAATTCACTGCTATTGGGCTGTAGCACTATTCATTGATAGGAGAGTTAGAAGCTGCCTATCAAGCAGAGGTTTCTACTCATAATAACCAGTCATGGTGTAGCTTCAGAATGCACCATAACCATGGGTTATGGAGAAGTGGCATCTTTTTCTAGGAGGAGCTGTATTATGAAGAGCCCTGTAGAGTAGCTGTCTTTGCAAGTAACATGACACAATTAGGGAAAATCATGCTCACATCAAATTTTATATGAAAAGTTTTGCATGGATCTACAGGTTTGATTGTGTTCAGTGTGATATTGCCCATCAAATCTGGCTACTCAGAGTAGTGCTTATCTAACCAGAAAATAAAAAAAATCAAGAGTTAAAAATATCTGATAAAAATTTAATGTGTATTTTTTACTTTAAAATAGGTAAGTTTCTTTTTCATGATGCACCTAGATTGGTGCTTAATCCTATGGGGGGAAATGCATATCGTTTCTATAAATGGCAAGCAACTGTAGCTTTTGCAGTGTGTGACTGCTGCACCAAATAGTCACATCTGTGATTTAATTCTGTGCATCCACACTAGACATGGTGTGGAGTACACTGGAAAAAGAGAAACAAAGTATATAAATATTTCTTCTCCTTCCCTTATTTTTTGCTTCTGTTTACTTATAAAAATTGTGAATCCTTAGTTGCGTAACTAAGATAACTTCCTGGTAGCAAAGGTGCCACACGGAAAACAATTCACTTGAACTGCAAGAATTCCACCAGAACTTAGTGCATGAAATGGACAATCTTCTGTTTTTTTCAAATAAAATATAGGTTCACTGGCTACCTCTCATCCCTTCCACATAAAAAAAAAAATACAGGAACAGCAGCAATCTCTGCATATAAAAAAGAACATTTATTTGATAAAAGAGACTCATAAATTTACACACTAGTTAATTTGAAATTCCTTTGAGTATCATTATATAGGAATGTTCCACTCAGCTGAATCAGAGCTCTGTTCTCCCCACTTTCAGAAATGGCTCACATATGTGCACACTGCTAGATAGGAATTTTATGTATCAGAGGTCAAATTCACATGAAAACAAAATTGGAACATATGGGATGCATTCAATCCTGGCAGCACCCTATTTTCTGTAGCATTAAAACAGAAGCACATAATGTCAGAATATAATAAAAATTGATTTAAAAGCACTGTTGCCAACTAGGAGGTGGGTTGCAGACATTCAAGAGCAAGAGCCCAGCACTAGAAATAAAGCAAGCTTCATTCTCAGTAACTGGATAGCAGAAGGAATATTAAAACCCCGAGCACAGTCTCTAGTGCATGAACATTTGGGTTGGATCCAGTTGCAATATAAATAACTTCAGCAGCTTGGGCCTTGTCTATTTGAACTAAAATGTGGAAAGCAGAGATGCAATGTCCTTTTTTTGATATGTTCTTCTTACAAATACTGTTATATCCACTAGCTCTCACTAAAGAGAGTATTGCAGTGTCTGTTGTATGTTTCAGTATCAAATTTACACACTTCACAGTAAATGAGGTATATATATTTGGAAGTCAAGATTCATTTTTCAGGTGACCATTAGGTCATTTAATGAATTTTCTTGAACAAATGGTATGGAATAGACATCGGAATCCCATACTTCACACTGTCTTGACTCAGCTCTTTACTTCTTGTTTCAGAGGTGTTTTTCTATTTCACTGCTTTGATGATGGTGACAAGCTTGTCTACAAGCACAATACAGGAAATAAATTAGAGCTTATCAAAAAACACTACTAATCATTCTTGAAATTAATTCCCTGGATGACAGTTTAGTGTCACACCTTAGGAAAAAGAACTGCTCCACTTCGCAAGTCCTAAAGCAAAATAAAAGTCTTTTTGTATAAGCCAAGAAATACAGAAACTTTGAGGATTACTATAAAGCTCTACAAAAGAGCTTTTCAGTGAAACATCTGGTATTAACTAAGCATGTGAGACTAAAATTTGATCCTTCACCTGCAACGACCCTGTGTAAGAATTTGTTACCCGTGGGAGGAAGAGGCAGATGGCTTCAAGTCACCCTTATGCTCTTTTTGGTCAGGGCTGGTTTAAGAGCAGGTTGTAGGTATATTGGATACTGGACCATAAGGAATCATTTACTTGTTTGGTAACCTCCCATTCAGCTTCCATCACAGCGGCTTACAGGCTGTTTCACAGGCCACAGCACCCCAGGATGTCCTAAAAAAACTATAATGCAAAGTTTTATCTGTATATCCACCTCTTAGCTCAGGCAACTCTGGCAGGTTTCAGAAGGAGGCTTGGGCAGGGAAAGCTTTGGCTGCTCTGAGCAACTTCTGCTCGTGAAGAGTTCTCCTACAAACAGCTTAAGGTTGTGTTACGGTTTGTGAGGACATCGAGGAACAATGATTATTCCTGTGATAATAAATGGTACTAAATAGGAAGATGACTACATTTGCCTAGACCCTCAGTATTTCCTACTAATATGATTATTATAATCTCAAGCTAATTGTAAGAAAATGCATTGCAGGAGGAATTGAGAAAACAGGCATGTTTTCAAAGACCAGGAGTATCTACCATTCATCCCAGCACAGAGGGGCATTTCCCAGCACCATGTACCAGACTTAAGTGCTACAATCTTTAAGTGCTTATGATTGTAATCTTTAAGAGTTTATAGCTGGAATTTGGGAATGAAAAAAAAGGGCAAAAAGTTCAAGGGCATTGCCAGTGTCTTGGCTCTTTGCATTAGCAGGGAAGGTGTAATATAAAAGCCTCAGGTCATCTGAAGAAGAACAACACTACTAAAGAGAGTAGCTCACTCTTCAGTTCCCTTTTCCAAACCAGACTAGACAAAAACAACAAACTCCCCTCTCTGATCAAATCTGAAGGAGAAATTTCCTCCCGACTGAACATGGCAATCAGTTTAACCCAATCAGCTTGACACACCAATTTAAAGCTAAGAGCATCCATGTACCATGCCTATGTCCTGACTCAAATTGGCCAGTCTCCAGTGCTTTGGAAGAAAGAGGAATTGAAAATAAATTCAGAAGCCAAATGTTACATCTGGAAGGCAAGTGTTATAAGCTCAATCTAAACCTTAGCCTTTGGATTCAGAGTTTCCACCTCACCAAATCCATCAAATCTGATCATAGTTTGGGCCCTAATATATTTCCATAAATAGCACATGTGTCAGGACTTAGCATGAGAGTATCATAAACATATATAAAAAACACAGATCGGACTGATCTCTATTTGCTAGAGCTTGAACCTTGGGCTTTTCACCTAAAAGCAGTCATTACAATGACTGCACACATTCCTCCTGGAAAGTAAAGGAAGTAAGTCAGTGAAAGATTCTGTACTTTTGTTTGCTTCCTTTTTAATCAGTTTGACATGTTGTTTCTTTTCACCTACCACAACTCAAGTGGCATCTGTGATTTGCGTGATTCATACTTGCATCTCTCTGCTAGTTAGAATGCTCCCTCTGCAGGCACAGCCATTTCTACAGATTTTCCGAGTGAAAAACAAGTACAATGACGAGTTTTTTTGGTGAAATTTTTTATTTTGTCAAGAAATACAATTTCTTCTTGGCTCTTGTTAATATATTGGGTGATCAATAGCTTATCAGAACATTTCTTTCTTTTGCACTTGCCTGCACAGGCATAGGTTTGGGGACATTTTTTAATTAGGGACATGTTAAACCCGATTCAGAATTTTCTGAATCCATAACTTACCAGTTCTAGATTTCTTTTTTCTTTTCAAACTGATGAGAATTTTCTAGTGATCATGTGCTGAATGTGTGCTTAGTCCCTCATTTGTACAATTATGGACTGAGGAAAACAAAACTGCTGCTTATGTCCCCATGCTTCCCCCTACCAGTAATGTCCCCTGAACCCCATCTCCTTCACTGGGCTTGTCTGCAGCACGAGAGCTGAGCACTGGGCTCAGCGTGACGCGCATTTTCCCTGGGCAGCCAGCTGCTGCCATCTCTCTGCCTGCTGGTTGAGGGATCAGCCCCCTCTGTTTTTTTTTCCTCCACTAAAAGCATAAATTAAATCCCTTTCCTTTACCCAGCCTCCAGTTATCACCAAAACTGATGAAAATTAATACACTGAAGGCCTCTACATTTCTGAAGAATTTGACTGAAATCAACTGATCAGTTCAAAATATACAGGGAGAAAAAAGAAGATTAACATAGACAAGCAGAAACACAGACAGGATATCACTTAAGCCTCATTTCCTTAAGAAATCAGGTTAAACATATACACATTAAGGCTTTTTAAGAAAACAAAGAAAGGGCTGTTCTTTTTATTCTTCTATATCAATGCTATTAAAATTCATGTGGGTTTCATAAACATAATAGTTTGACAATTCTGGAAATTAAATGCCTTTAGTTTCAGAACAAGCCCATGATCAGTAAAGGGCATGATCACTGTTGTGTCCCACTAGCGAGCTCCCTGTCCGTCCCGGTAAGCCCCTGCAGGACGTAATGGAAAAATGGTGGTTTCCAAATGAGTTTGCTTTTATTTTTCTTCTGTAGCTGATAAGCTTGCAAATTAGAGTGCTAGCCCTGTTGGTGATTTCGACCACATGGACCTTTGGTTGGGGAATAGTGTTCTTCACCTAGAGCTTAAATAATGTGCATGCCTGCATTTTGGGCTTTTTAAAATATCTATAAAGCAATTGTTTATGTATGTAGCATTTGTTTGTTTTGTTTTTTTTTTAACTCGGTAGTTTGACTGATAGCTTCATAAGTGGATGAGAGGTTTAACAGTTAATAGGTGATAAACTACTCACATTTCTGCGACTATTTTCAGGGAGACCGTGGAATAAGAGGCTATCCTGGGCCCCCAGGGCCACGGGGGAGCGGAATGGTTGGTCCCAAGGTTGGTACAATGCCATGTTGAAGCTTTCTGCGCTTTTGTGATGCTGACTGCCAGACTCTGATCTCTTGGACATCAGAGTATCTTGCTTTACATTAGTGCATCTGCAAGAGAAATCAAGCATAACATGGGTAGTGCCCATACACTTGTACCAACTGGATTAGGAAGGAACACTGATTGGATAAAAATTGCATTTGCAGCTAAACTTTATGAGATTACAGCTGGTAATTGAACAGAACTATCAGGCTGATAAATATGTTAAATGATGCATTTCTTCTGTGTGTACCTATTCTGTTTCCAAGAGATTCTTCTGTGGTGGAAAATACGTTAAATGCAAATTTTATGTTTGCAATTTTTGCTCAATGAAATGGAATCCAATTAATTTCATTAGTAAAACCACTAGGAAAGAAACATGAAAATGCAAAGTTAATTCTATAAGCAGCCAACATACAACATCTGGGCATTTTATTCCCCCCTCCACTAAAATGATTTATAATTCAAAAAAGAAATTCTGGTAAGGAAAGTAATTCAAATCATGCCCGGATTTCTTTATTATAGATGTATCCATCAATTACTTTTACAAAGGCAATGGAGAGAAACACTGGACTTCTGCATATATCTGTACACTTTAATTTAAGTTAAAAATAGATGTGTCTTTGTAACTTTGTCTATAATTTCCTTAGCAGAGATTAACAGAAGTTTCCACTGCCGTTTTGAATAAACCAGTATCTGAATGGAGAAACATTGCTATTACCAACCTGTTGCAGAAATGCAATGAGTGCAATGAGCACGAATATTTTCTCAGGATGTATGTATGTCTGTCCCTTGATTTCTTAAAACTGCAGCAATTTCAGTACCTTGGTAAATCATAGAGACACAGTCTGTTTAAAAAAAGTAAGTTTGGACTGAGTGTCATAATCCCACAAATGTGCGACACTATATACTGCTTCTGCAAAGCCTTCAAGAATGAAAAATGTGTTGTCTGTGGGGAAATAATATTGTTTTCCCAGGGTGAGGCCCTGCTTGTAGCATCTAGTTCTTGACATAGGCTGTTTAGCACCACAATGTTTTGTGTGAACCCCTGCTTATAAATACATAGATTAACAGTATTTTTCACAAGAGATTCTGTCAATGTTTGTGGCAAAATTTTTTTCTACACAGATGAGAGTGATGACTTTTCAAATGTCACTAGTATCTAGAAGTTAATTATTTAGAGCTATATATTTCTATTTAATGATTATCAGGTTTTTATGTACTTCTGCCTAAATAGTCAACATATGCAAAAAGTAGGTAATTTACATGCCACTGAATGAATTCCATTTACTGTATTGGAGCACGGTGATTATTTATTATTAGAGAGTAATCAAAAATACAGAAACTTTTATGAAGCTGGGTCAAATTGGGAGACCCTTTTCAACTAAAAAAAAAAAACAGAAAAAGGGAAAAGAGAAAAGGAAATGTTTAATTTTCATGTAGTCGAAGGGAAATGCTTCACTTTGTCACATTGAAATGTTAGATTAGCCTGCCTCCAAAGCACAAGGGCTTTGCCTGGCTTTGACTTTATTGACACAAATCAGCAGGTGCTGCTTTGGTTTTTCTCTCCTTCCCTCCCATTTCTGATTTTCTGAATGACTGGTGCTCCCAGAGGCAGTCGCACCACAGGGGCTTGACGTATATACATGATGCGCAGGAGCTAACTAACGTTCCTGGCAGATTTACTCACACTGGGTTTTATTGCTGTGGTCCTTTGTGCCTCTACTGTTGGCTGCCATTGTGGAGAGTGATTGCACAAAGCTGTTGGATGAAGATGATTTCTGTTGGTTTCTACCTGGGAAAAATACCACACTGTTTCATGGGCATATTTTATTCTTTAATTATTTTCAGCTTAGTTGTTCCTTTAATTTCCTTGGAATTAGCCAGGGACAATTACCAAGGACCACAGTATGAAACCGTAAATCAAAGAAGAACCAGAACTGGAGTCTTTGAAGTGGTTTTACTTTTTCCTTGCAGTGACTTTGAGATTACTTCCTTAGTGTTACCAGGAATAGAGTTTACCATCTTTTTTTTGCCCTACTTACTGTTATAGGGTATTATGGGACAGAAAGGTTTGCCTGGTCCACCTGGCCCCCCTGGTGACAGCATACAAGGAAGCAAGGTAATCCAGTTTAATGTGTTATCTGTCCAGTTTCTTCTCAGAACTGTCTCTGAAGGAGATTCATTGTCTGGTTTTCTCCCTGCATAATTTCTGTGTGTATTCTGTTTGCCATTGAGACAGTGAACTCTTGCAAATATTCATTGTAAATTTAAGTTTCTTGTTCACAAGGTATGTAATATTAACTTTAACTGTTGAGTTTGCAATATTGTTGGCATCCAATTTCTCTCCTCTTCTTGTCATTACAAATATATTTAACCTGGGAAAAATGTCTCATCTCTGCCACATCTTACTGATTTACTTAGATTTAAAGCAAGCTCCAAAGAAAACATCCAGGTTTTTCTCTGAATGCCCTTATAAAAGACAGTAACAGAGATATACCATGTTTTGTCAAAATAAGTCAGACAGCACATATAGGAATATAAAAGAAATTAACCAGTCTCTCACATACTCTTCATCAGGTTTTTACTTACCCAGTTCCAGCCATAACCATAACTTCTCTCCTTGTAAGGAGAAGCACAAACATGGCAACATATTCCAAACATTCCAAGTTAATAAATTGTCTTGTCATAAATGCGTGGAAGAAAATTGTTATAACTGGAGGCTCTAGTGGAGGACAATCCAAGTTTGTTCTATTTCTCTTAAATCAGCATGCTTAAAGTTGAGCATATGATTGAATATTTCCCTAGATCAGGAGGACTGTTCTCAGCTCTCCAAATCTAATAGTGATCAGAAAGAGGAGCACTGTTTTAGCTGGGTTAGGAAAGATGCCTCTCTACACTGCAGTTGGCCAGAGACACTAAAAATGTACCTGGCTGGTGAAATGTTTCATAGCAGAACCTTTATTTGGTTCAGGGTGGAATTATTTCAGACAAGCTTTACCAGGAAAGCACCAATTCCTTCTGAATTTGTTTTGTTTAGTACTTGTTCTGACTCCAGCTTCAATGTATTCTATTTTTAGACTCATGTTCAATCATTTCCCTTTTTGTACTGCAGTGAGCCCTTCCTTTTTTCACTGTGAGGTGTTTTATAGCCTAAAATCATATTTTACTGTGTTCTTCCTTTTCTCTTTATTGTGTAACTCTCTTTAAAAGATTCTGATTTACTTCATCTCAGGACTTTCCTAGACAGAGATCTCTACACGGTTAGAGTCATCTAACTGTCTAGACCTTTGGTTTTGACCTATTTGTAGTTTTCTTCTGTATTAATTGTTACTAGTAACCACAAAGCTATTAGGTATTCTAATGTGAGGGCATAGGGAACTTCCTGTTTTCCTCTCTTCGTTTGTTTGCTGAATCTTTGAAGGCTCTTTGCTCTATTCTTGTGGAAAACAGAAAAATTTCTGCCATCTCTGTATGGCTTAATGGTATAGGAAAACTATTTCCTGCCTGGCTTTAACAGACGTTTCTGATAAGTTTCCAGAAAATAATATTTGGAATATATCTTTGTTAATTCTATGGGTATGTGAGGTTAGTTATAAAAGCACAATTGCTGTTCTGAACAGAAATGTTTCTGCAATCAAATGCATCTGATGGTACATGAAAAAATATACAGACTATATAATATTTTTTCTGTTCCTGAAGAAAGGTAAAGGTTAGTCAAAATATGCTCAATGTCTACATTTACATCTATCTATCTATCTATCTATCTATCTATCTATCTATCTATCTATCTATCTATCTATCTCTCTCTATATGGATACACACACGGTTTTGGATGTTATGTTGGCACTGTTATGAGTAGTATCTAAAGCATATTTCAGAAGTGTAGAGAGCTCAGTTTCATCATGCAAGATTTCCAGTTGAAGAACACGGTCTACTGACACACATTGTCAGACAAAGGTACGTTTGTAATGTAAGGATGTGGAATTTAGGATGTAGAAGAGTAACATGTGCTCTGGCTATGGAAGGTCTTTGTCTCTGGGTTTGAAACCAAAACTGTAGTGATGTGGTGGATCAGACTCAGCTGGTGGAGTTTCTATAGTGTTCCAAAAGTTGTGTAGGCACAGTCTTATCTCTTGAATTTTCTACCCTTAACAACTGCTTTTAAAAATTATTATTATTTTTATATAATTCTTAGGAACAACTTTTTTCTGAACAACTTTGGCAACTGTCTTGCTCCTTTAATACCTGTTTCCTCCATACGCTGGTGCTTGTTGAGCTTCTAGCTGTCTCTTCTGTCCTTCTGTCTCTTCAACAGCCATGTCAAGCTTCACTCTTTTTGGCCAGTCTTCATCAGGTTAAAAGCTACTATACTCCTGGATTTGAACTATCAATATCACTCCAAGTATTTTATATATATATTCATAGAGCTTAGTCTGCATACGGTAAGAATGGAATGTCAAAAATGAGATGGTTTTCAAGTAACTATATGTTGATAGCTACATGCACAGGTCTTCCTTTTTTATGCTTGGTTTCCTTTCAAAACCACAGTCTAGACATTCTGAGATCTGCACTCTGTTCTGAGAATGACATTTTTATATAAAAACCTGCTTATTGTTCAGTGATCTAGCAGGATATTAGGGTCAAGGATCCAAGGATCTGCATTTTTACATGCATACCACTGGTTTTTATGATAAGACTGATGGTCAAGTTTGAGTTTAATTGTGTACGTGGCTTGGACTGGCAAAGCAATAAATATTTTAGAATTAATACAGCATACGTCTTAGTTTTTACTAAATGTTCAGTTATGTTATATATGATAAATTCTTCTTAAGTTGATGATTGATTGCACAAGCACAGGAAGTAGGATTTGGTTCTGCAGTTGACATTTTAAAGGATAAAACTCACATGTATGCCTGTGAGAAATGGCAGCTGTACAGGTATGAATTTTTTTAGAACAGTAGAGTTCAGTTCAGTTTTCATTGCCTCAGCACCAACCTAACAATGTCAAATGGGTTTTAACAAATGGCAGCAATAAATTTATAGTTTTGTTGGATCTGACATTTATTATTGGTGGAGGACCACTGGAATACACAGCATATCCTAATTCTGGTTCATCTGTATGTGCTCTGCAGATCTGCAAAGGTGTTGATCAGGAAGTTCTCTGATGACCCTAGTCAGGAAGCATAGTCAGTCCCAGTGCTGGACGGCAAGCATTGAAACAGGCTGGCACACTGTTTCACCATGTTTAAAAGCCATTATGTTTAAAAGCCAAAAGGCAGTAATAGGTAGCCCTGATGACAAGCAGAGCATTTTCGCTCCCCAAGCTGGGGCTAGTGGACCAAGAGGCTCCTGCAGGGCAGGGCTGTAAAGGCAGTGCTCAGTGGAGATGTGAATGGTGGAGTGCAGTGGGTGCCTTTGGCTAGCGTGGGGCAAGACCACAATGCACCCATGTGCAAGCAGAAGCTCCCATCTCGGCAGGAACTCATTCAAATCTGGAATTTGGACAGGGAAAACCACTCATTGACATGACTCATAGTATACTGCCTCTTCTAGAAGCTGCATCTCATTGTTTAACCCCTGGTGAACTTCCAGCTCATGGGATTCAGGAGTACAAGGAAGAGAGGGTTGACTTGGCTGTGCACTGTGCAGCTGCTTCTCCCCCTGCAGAAATCCA